TAACCTGAAACACAAAACAAAACATTAATGTAGCTATTGAGCTAATATGATGCTACATTTGAAGTAGACCAGCAAGTGTTGTCTTTTAAGCTGAGCTTATTCCACTGCCAACAGTTTGAGCATTATTTTTTAAGCATGGTTTGAACTACAGTAAACTGTCAAAGTGTAGATAGGAAGAGAAAAGGAGACTTACATTCAGCATGATGAAGGCAGCCCAAAGCAGCTATCATAAAAGGGAATGTCAGGGAGGGTTAACGATCATACAATTGTGATCACGTGGCTAATTGAAGGAAATACTGAGGGCCACTGGTGGACAGTTTGGGGATGACATCACCATAACAAACCCTTCCTCTTATTTTGGTCAAAAATTCTACATTTTTTCATTATTTCCTTTTATTGGACTTGACTTGACGTTACTTCTGATGTGTGTTTTTTAGCATTGACGTCAATAATTATGCATTGAAAATAGCGTTTAAAGTTGGTATGTCACCTTTTAATTACATTTTTGACAAATTAGCAATTGTATTATTCAAATCAATACCTAATATAGTAATATTACATAAAGGTGCACTTATGGCTAATTTAGCAAACATATCTAGCTAATTTTGACTTTAAAAAGGGACTTTGATAAAAATTAGGCTATATTAAATAAGCAATATATTGTATATGGAGGCGTGCGGCGCAGTGCATAGAACCTTCGTGTTGGGATCAGGGGGTCACAGGTTCAAACCCCACTGCTGTCAGCATGTGGTTGTGTCTCTGGGCAAGACAAATCACCCCAAATTGCTCCTGTAGGGATTGCCCACAGTATGTAAGTCGCTTTGGATAAAAGCGTCTAACAAGTACCATGTAATGTAATGTATGTATAATCCCATGATCTTACAATGCTTGCATTATAAAAGGTATGTATCATACTGTACATATTGCCCTAAATTACTTAACTCAAAATAATGATATATTATGCACTGAAACACAGCTCTCTTCGCTAAATGTGTTCACATGCACGCACAGTTACAGATTTGTGACTTTTTCTGTCTGATAACTCGAATATAAAGCTAGTTAGTCAAGTCAGGTTAATTACATTAATACTATCGACATATCCTTCCTCTGACTGAAAAATGTTGACCTGATTTGCCTTCGGTAGAACCCTAAAGGCAATTAAGATCAATCCCATTCTGTAATTGTCTCATGATTAATGATAAGCTGTGTGCATTCAATTTATTCAAAAGTATCATTCTCTTACAGGAACCAATTTCTAATTCCATACATTTCAATTTTTTTCAATTACACACTGAATCTATAAACATGACAAGATTTATTATTTTCTGTACATAAAGTATGCTGTCTATCCTTAATTTGACGATATTTTCTTCGAGTATGCATTCATGATTTTCCATTTGGTTGTCAGAATGACATTTGCCGTTCTTAAGCAGAAAAGCAGTACAGATCGCTCTTTTCATTTTGCAAAGCCTTGTGTCTGAGATGCAGCTATGTGTAATGAACCTAAATTGTGATATATGTTCACCAATAACATTTATGCAACTGTTAATCCCAACCCCAGTGTCTTTATGGACCCACATGTCTCTATGTGTGTGTAAATAGAGACAAAGGAAGGTCACCTGCATGACTCTGCCCTTGTTGGACATCGATTGCATTTTACAGAACACTAAACATAAATACAATGTTTACATGGAGTCCTATTCACAAACACAATTGATGCCAAGGTCACACAGTCATTACCACCTCTGCGTCTGTAAACAAAGAAAGTAATCTCTGGCAAATTAAGGCTTTACAGCTGATCAGAGCTAATTTAAAGAAATAGAATGTAAGTTAATTTATATATACATTTGAAATACAATCAAAGCAGAGGTCAATGGTGTGATTTTTCAAAGAGTAGTCAATGTCTAACGATGAGGCTAGTGCATTTTGTTTTTGCATTCCTGTCAGTGCACTCATGGTGAAACATGTCAGCAGCACATTACCAAAATGCATATCATCCATCTTTTTTTGGCCTCTCTCTCTCTCCCTCTAGGTCTGCCACAAGAGCCGGATCACTAATGGTTTCATTGATTGTTCAGGTCTTATCATTCATCACCAAAGGGGTCAATGTCCTACCTCCATCTAATGACACTGTTTAAACGTAAATGTCTCATCTTTGAATGAAATGTCCCCTGCAGATGGGCTGCAACAAACCGATAGGCATCATTACTGTGCTCATGATTAAAAAAAAAAGAAGAAAATGTGGCTTGTATTGATAGATTCTAGTTCATGTTACTTAAACAATATTTTCAATGTTTAAGATTCAATTCCCAAATACATTCTTATAATACTACTATATACGTTATTATTATTTATTTAAGTCATGTTTTTTTTAAATTTCATTTAAATGTAACTATTTTATCAGAATTTTTTTTAACTCATTATTATTTTTCCCTGTATTGTTTTTTGTGTATCTCCTTGATTTTTTTCCGCCTGATTGGTTAGTTTTTCAGATGTTTCTGTTATAGTTTTTTTCTCTCTTAAGGGGGATGTCTGCTGTATAAACCTGTGGCTCCCTAACCTCCCCTGACACATTCCAAATGTCCCCATCATCTGGATTTGATGCAGTCTTATGTGCGGGCAAATAAATAAACTGAATCATACCCACTGCCGTTCCAATTATTGTCTCTGCTGGTTGTTTGTCCTCAGGTCAGTGGTCCAGACATATGCAGCTCCCCAAGGTGCTGCCGAGAGTAAATAAGACTTAGGTGCTGTGTCGCCATCATCTGACTTTTATTAATGAGCCAATCAATTCCTATTTGTATCACCCTTTCAACTGAAATCCTGGCGTCACAACACTTAACAAATTGGCTGACCTAGAGCGGAGCATTGAGGCATGGAAACGCTGCTTCGCTGTTTCACTGACATTAGCCAATTGTTGTGAAATAGGTTGTTAAATAAAATGTGTCAGGAGATAGCAATGAATAAATCAACTTTTAGCTGACTGAGTTTTAGTGGCTTTGTTTATACGATGTGGTCAAATGTGGAGAGAACACATGCATTTGTGCACCTTAAGTCTGTTTTTTTTTATTCAACAGTTAACTTTCTGCCGCAAGGCCCTTTCTCAAAAAATTAAATAAAGGAGTTTGTTTGCATTATAAAGTACCAAGGGATTATAGGAGTCGTTTTCTTCTCAACGATTGCCGTCGTGGAGTCAGTGGTTGCCTTCGTTCAATTTACGGATTTCTCTTGTTTTGAAATGTGTTCGAAAATGTTGAGTTTTGTAACTTTATACATTGTCATTAGAAAAGTTAATTCAGCAACACAACTCTAGTAGACAAATAGAGTGTTTCCAGAGTCTTTTTACAACATTTTGGGGATTGCCCTTTCGAATAGTAAGGTCCAAAAAATAAATGTTTTCCACATTGTGTGTGCAAGAACTCGGCTGGCCTCCGCAGAGCCCTGACCTCAACCCAAACCAAGTCCTCAGGGTGTGCTGGAGTGCAGACAGTGAGCGGCCTTATTGCCCGTTGTCAGTGTCTGACCTCACTATTGCTCTGGGGGCTGAACAGGAGCAAATGCCTGCAATCAGGTCCTAAAATCTTGTGGAAAGCTTCACCAGGTACTACATTTAGAAAAGGGTTTTAGAAATGACAATTAATGGTGTTATCATTGGTAATTGATATTATGTAAATGCTTTAGAGCTCAGTTACTCTGTAGATCTGTTATGAGTATTAGAGAACTACATGGAGATCTAGAAAATTATTCAGCCTTTTTGTACTTCCAGCTCCTTCTCAAAGTCAATGGGTTTTTTGATTATATTCTTGAAATACAGTATGTGGTTAAAATAAAAGATTTTTGTTCTACAGTATGTCATAAATAACACCAGTAATTACCCCACGCATGAATTTCAAAAGGGCCATATTATGCATTATGCTATTGTGGTATGTAGGTTTTTGTGCATGTAAATGGTCTGCAAAGGCTAACATCCCTGTTCCCTCCAGAGGGAGTTACTCTCTCACACACTTTCCCCTGCCTGAAACAACTTGATTGGACTCCTTTGTTTACTTCTGTAACATTTAGACATCACTCTGTAATACTCCAGCTTCTATTGGCTACCTACCCTGCTAGCATGCAGTGCTACATACAGCTGTCACCTGATTGGTTGTGCGTCGAAATTTCAGCGGTAACTATGTCAAAGATGAAATAATTAGAACTTTGAGCACAGCACTCGCAGACAATTTTCAGCGAATAAACGACAGAGAGGGTAGAGCTTCCGCCTAGTCGCTCCCTCTATTGAAACACAATGTCGCGCAGAGCTGCATGCTAGTTTCCATATGAATGCAGCTTAAGGGGCGGAACATCAGTAAGTGATTGACCAATCACAACAGAGCTGGCCAGCTTACCAAGAGCAGACTGGGCTCTCGTTTCAGACAGAGGGTGAAGAGAGGTGCTGCAGCACAGGCAGTATGAGGAAACAAACATTAAAGCATGGAAGGCAGTCACAGTAGAGGCACAAATTACACATTTAAAACCAGAACATTAGCATAATAGGGACCCTTTAAAGGTGTTATGCATGATCATCTACTTAGGGGAGGGTACGTTGATATCAAGGGATCTTGGCTTGAATTGTTTATAACATTATATTTTTAATTCCAGCAATTGCATTGCTGCAACTTTGATACTTATTGTCACTGATAAACTTTGGTTTGCCATAGAGCTTTTTTTTTTGACGATAAGTACAGTACAAAAGCTTTTGTAAAAAACATTAATTCAAACCATCAAACTCTAATAGGTCCCCAAGTCTGAACCTTAACATATTATGAGTCCTAAAAATCAAGTACTGTCCGTCCATCTATCCACTCCCCCCCCCCACAACTTCCCTCACACACAAGGACCCTCTCAACTGAAGCTCTTGATTGCCATCTGCTGATAGGTAGCCACAATTACACCATATGGCCGAAACACTTCTCAAAGTCACGGTAATGCTTCATTAAAACAGGAGAGATGATTTTCAGTGATGTACAAAGTTTTATTATTTTAGAAGAAGGTGCAGTTACATGACGGTGTTGAACTAAAAGCTACTGTTTCATGTAAAACTCTACAGGTCCTCTCTTTGGGTTGTAGAAAACATGCCAGCAGGTTTGTTTCTGAAAAAAATCTTGTGTGAACAGTCTCTACTAAATCATGTTAATGTTAAAACTTTATAATTTCCTATGACTCGGGTTAGTTTTTATAACAACTGTTCATGCTTCAGATCCGAATCCCATGCTTTTAGCATTACTCGACTAAAAAACTGCACTCAGGCCACAGGGCGTCCTATGCAACAATGCACTTGCACTACTTTTATGAAAGTACATTTATATTTACTTATAAACAATAGGTTTTTGTGTGAAAGATAAAGGATGGTTTCTTGATTGGCTTGCTTGCTTGTTATTGCATTTCCTCGTTAAGTGCAGAAGTGATTTAGCAGCAGAGAGTCTAGGTGACTGACTTATGCATTGCAGGCTTAACACCATCATGTCCCATAAGACAGCCCAACTTCAACACTGCATGTTGTAGGATAACAGTAAAAAACAAATGAGCTAATGACCCATTTGAGTCCATATTGTTTCCATATGTGGCATCTGTCCTTGTATTTCATGTGTAAATCATTTGGTTTTGCTTAGAAAAAGAAAGCCATTGAAATCAACAAGCTAGGCTGCATTGAAATGATTGTAATTGAGCCCCTTTTTAAAAACTGTAGCTTGAAACCACTCATGCATTTCATGTATGTCTGTATTTAAGAGAAATTCACATGGAATTTGTCTGCCGACTCATGGCTGGTTTTGTATCCTGCAATCCTTAAATAAATCACCAACAGTAACATGCCATGCAGCCGGTTCATTTTTCGATGGGGAAGTATCAAAGCAATACTTTGAGGGGGAGTCCTTCTGTAGTATTCAGTAAACACCAGCCGGGTTATCGATGCTGAAAAGCAAGCATGTTTCTTTTTTACTCTGCAAGAATCTAATTGATTATCATAGCTAGGGTTTTGGCATCATAACACCTCAAGTCATTCAAAGGTATAGAAGTTAGCAAGACACTACGCTAACCAGGACTTAAACAATTTTGCATGACTAAATCACACATAAGGGAAGATGGTATTAATGGAGTAACAGGAGAAGTGCTGAAGTGCACTCACTGGAAGAAATCAAGGTGATTTTGTTTCATAAAATGCCGAAATGAAGTGTCATAAATCACATTTAAGAAATTCAATAAAATGACCCAAATTAAGATAATAAATGTCCCTAAATAGCTTTTTTCTAATTAAACAAGATCCTTATAGATGCAATGCAGTTAAGCGTTGCTTATTAAACAAAAAAGGTGATAAAAACGACCCTTTGATTTTATTTTCAGTTATAAACTGCTAATTATAACCATACGCCTAAAGGTGGAGTCTGCTATTCTAATCAAATGCAACTTGTGTCAACTTGAGTAAATATCTCCCTTTTAGTTTGCTAACCGTCTGCTCTGTGTTTGTTCTTTCACAGCCCTGGTTCTGTAAGTGTGAAAAAAGCAAATGGACACAACACCATTCCAGCCAATCAGCAACCAGGGGCAGAACATGGATGTATTTATAAAGGGAAAGGCAGTGGGAGGGATGGTAAATCTGGAGCAGGGTATTGGTTGGTATTGAGTTCAAATATCAACAACCTTTCTTTAGAATCGCTGACTTAACTTTTAACCTTAAATAGCACGGTCAGCAGCAACAGTCAGTCAGTTGGCTACAAGGTCACATGATAGGTCACCTGATGCGCCTCTCTGCCGGGCGTAGCAGTTCTTCCTGACCTACTTCAGTCCGGGCCACCCCCTTTCTCCGCATGAGACCTCTCCGGTGAAGGACAGAGGTGAGGGGGCGTAGAGGTCAGAGTCTGTGTCTGATTCGCCCTCTGCTATGAAGGGTCGTACCCTGGCACAGATTGAAGGAGCAGCGGCGGCTTCAGGCGCTGCGTTGGCGCCCCCTCCTGAGCCTGTGAAGAAAGTCGGCCCAAAGAAGTCCTCCTTTGCCTGGGAGATGCTGAAGCCGCTGAAGGAGCGCTCCAGCTCCTCGTGGTCAACAGACGGGATAGATAGAGAAGTATCGCTCTCTACAGCGGCGGCGTCCCGCTGGCACCTCGGCCTCCGGTGGCGCCTCCTGCTTTGGGAGTCGCTCTCTCTGCTGCCCGGGCCAGAAGAGCCTCGCTCGTGAACTGGAGCAGGTGGAGGCGGGAGGCGGAACAGGTTGGGCGAATGGTCTCTGCTGCCTCCCACTGGTGATGGGGAATTGGCCACGCTGCTGTTCCAGGCAGGCTGGCTGAGGGGGTGCTGCAGCTGGTGCTGCCAGGAGGTAGAGGCGCGACTGTGGCTGCCAGAGGGAGTGCCCATCGATATCGCCACAGAGCGACCCAGTAAAGGATCTTTCTTTTCCAAAGAGCCGTCAGAGCAGGGGAGTTCTGCAGGTGAGCATATCTGCACCTCCTTCTCCTCCTTCAACTCCTCTTTGCCCTCCTTCTCCTCCTCTGGGCTGTGGTAAGGCGGGGCTGGGTACGGCTCTTTGGAGTTGAAAAAGGCATCTGTTTCTGATCGAGGGATACGTTGCACGTACACATTGACCAGGAAATCTAGTTTCCTGTCCATAGAGACCACCTGCAGGAAGACAGAAAAACATGTACGGAAGGTTCTGACAGGCACCTGTCAACAAAGGATTCGGGTGATACATTTTCTTGATCTAAAGTGCTTACTCTCCTCTATTGACGATGACTTAAAAAAGTAAAAAATATTTTATGTATTCAACAGTAACGTTTTTCTAAGTAACTAATGCGGACGCTCCAAAGGGGCGTGGCCAGCACCAGCTCATTTCCATTTAAAGCTACTGACCCAGAATCAGCACGTTTGTAACAGGGCTGAAACAGAGGGGTATGAGGCTTGGCTACAATGGGTGATCTGTTTGGTATTTTGAGCAAAACACTTCAGAGATGCCAAGGCACACAGGGGAGTATGGCCCTATAATATATTGTTCAAATATAGCATAATAGGTGAGCTTTAAGTCAAAACACAGGAGATAAAACTAAGACCAGACAATATATATTTTGTTCACTTCCATAAAAAGGTATTCATACCAAGTATTTAACAATGTTTAAATTCAGAAAAACAATAGTACAAATAATCCAACTCATAGGCTACTACTTTCCCACAGCTGGAAGCAACAGCCCTACCTGCTTCTCCACTTTCACCAGACGTCCCATCATGCTCTGGTCATCTGAAGCCTCTCCGTCACCTTTGGGCCCTTTACCAACTATCTGGTCAACTCTAGCATTGGAGAAAAATAATATCCGGTATTAAAAAACACTCTGTTCTGCCACATGGGTTTAAACTTAAGAAGTGTATGATGCCATAATGTGAACTGGTACATGGAAAGTAGGTTTACAGTAGGTTATATGATGCTCATAAAGCTACAAATACTGTATGTTTAGAATGAATGAAGGATGGCCTAATATTTGAGCATTTCCTGAGGAAACATTGATTTCAGGTGGACAGTGTGGACGCATGCTTTATGAGATGAGGCGATATTGACAGTATGTGAATATGGGGTATATTTTATCTAAGGGCCAAAATGCATCACTTGGCATGCTTTTGTTATGCTTCATGCTTCATTTCCATAGCATCCTGCTGGGGGAGCCGTCCTTCTATCTCTCCAATATGAGAACAAGCATCTAGCACTATCAAACCCCTGTTGAGTGAGGCCATATGACATGGCTCATTGACATTGAGTGAGAACAGCTGATTATGTGACGAAAAGGTACCTGCACAAAATCTCTTAAAGAGGACATATTATGCTCATTTTCAGATTCATAATTGTATTTTGTTCGAATACTGTGACTTCTCTTAATGTTTAAATGGGTCTTTATTTCTCATACTGCTTGTGCTGCGGAAACTCTTTTCACCCTCTGTCTGAAACCAGAGCCCAGTCTGCTCTGATTGGTTAGCTGGCTGGCTCTGTTTTGATTGGTCAACTGCTTAGAGACGTCCCACCCAGGTACAATGAGTGCTAGCCAATACAAGGGTGGGTGTAAAATAGTGATGTCACAAAAACCGATATAACAGACTACAGGAAAGGGAAAGCCCCAAAAAGCCACGATAAAGCCCCTTGGAGATGCAACTATTTAATATTTCATAAATTATGTGTTTTAACATGTTTTTTTTAATGATATAAATTGTAGCTTCATCTCAGCATGTAAAATCCAGCTCAATGAGACAGGTCAAGTGGCTTGAACTCAAAAGGGGTTCTGTCAATCAAAATAATAAGGCAGCATGTTACTGCCTTAATGTTTGGACTATAAAGAGCAATATGCTGGTAACATTCTAGAGGTGCAGTCTATTGACCTAACCTAGGACCTTCAGTGGACTTCTTATGGCGAGGTGTTGAGGGGGGAGGGGGCCCCACAATCATATCTATCCTGGCAAGGCACACAGAGACGATATGAGTGCAATGCAAAATGAAGCAACGCGGGAATCACATCAGCTATGGAGAACACGTTTTCAATATATTCCACACACACAAGACATACGGTGAGTCTGACTTGCTTCGTGGATGAGGAGTGCATGTTTTTCGCTGTTGGAATATATTTATTCTACATGTTAGACCTTCAAGGGGAGCAAAATGTGAGGGACTTAGGTAAAACAATGTGATGTATACATCAATGTTATATCTAAAAAATGGAATTGTGATGCATTCAAAGCTGGAGTGGATCGTATTTTGAGATATAAATGTGACGACTGGGAACACAACACATGTCGTTGGACAAATGAAACAGGCAAATCAATGACAACATGTGTGTATCCAAAAACACTGCATTACTGAATCACAGTTCTACTATTAACACTCAGTTTAAACTAATATTAAACTTAAGATATGAGTCTGAAAATGCTTCCAAGTATCCCCCATATCCGTCCTGATATTTTTGAACTCACAGTGACAGTGACATTCAGGCAGGTTATTCACTCTGAGGAGACCTAGAGATAAGTGTGGTTTAGATTTAAATTGCAACATAGTGTGTTTTGTACGTTCACTTGCCTGGACTGCAGGTTTTTGATGCGGGACAGCATGTCCAAGTGACCTGCCGAGTACTGCTCGATCACGTCCATGACATCATAAGGCCGCAAGCTCTCTTTGAACCGCCTCTTTGACACCAGAAACTTCATGATGCTGAGGAGGGACAAATTATTTTCTCACATGAAACACAGAGTACGTGAGTAGGCTTTTTTTCACAGCTGACATTTAAATTGTCAGTGTACCACAGGTCTTAATTATTATAACATGAAAACTAGCTTTGTTCTATTCATTAGTCTCAGTTAGTCATGACCAGGGGCCTCATTTATAAAGGGATATACGCTCAAAAAATGGCGTACGGCAGTTTCTACGCAATGTTTGCGATTTATAAAATACTAACTTGACGGGAAAATGTGCGGTCCTCCACGCAAACTCTGACCCATGCGTACGCAGTAAGCACAAAAACGGGAGAGACGAGTAACTGCGACACCGTTGGCAGAAGGAAGAATGGAGAGAAATATGTGGAAATAATACCATAAATAAAATGTTACCTCTCATTTTCCAACATTGATTAAAGCCAATCTTAAAATGATTTAACAAACGCCTCTTTGAGACTCCTCAGTGCACACAAAAACATAAGTGGGAGAAATAAATAAATACGGATATGTTATTTAAAACCACCTCGAATATGTTGTGTTAATGTTATGAAATGTTTTCTCATAAATGATGCGGTAAGCAGGAGGACAGAATTACGCCTAAACTGACACCGTTTTGCATTTCTATAGGTTGTAGATACGAGCATGGTTTTATATATGTTTAATGCATGTTTAATCGTGTTTTATGCCGTTTGCTAAGACTTGATAAGTCGCTCGTAAAACACAGGAGGTATGGAAACTAAGAGCACCATATGTGGTAAACTGTACAGATATAACCCAACACATTAGTTGTAATTCCTGGTGGATATAGAGTTGCTGCGGAGGGGGGGAGGGGGGGTTGTTGAGATGCACAGGCTGCAGTGGAGACGCTGCGCACAGCTGATCGACAGCTGGGACACAAACCGCCAAGTACAAAAACATAATTCAGATCCAGTCGTCATGACTCCACTCCGGAGGGATTCCCCGATCATTTCTTACAGTTTCTCATCAAGGGAGTGTCTCCTGTCCCTGGTACAAACACACTGCCTGAGGAAGGCTGTGTATTTTTTTTTTGTCATGAACCTTTTTCGAACCACTTATTTATTTATTTTGGTGACGATCCGACCTCCATGCTGCTACTCTGGTTCAAACTGCATCCACCAAACAATATGATTTATCTCGACCTCCCCAAAATAACCAAAATCTGACACGGTGTGAGATGTCTTTTTTAGCTGTTCTGTCGTCATTTTCCCTTACTTCTTCATAAATTCAGTCAGTCAAAATGAATGAATGAATGGGCGTTTCTTTGACTATTTTTAGGCAAAAATGGGCGTTAAGTGAAGCCCGCAAAAGCTGCACCGCATTTCGAGTCGATTGTGATTTATAAAGGGTAACCGGCGTAGGAAGTGCTGTACGCCCTTTCCCCACCGGTAGGCAATATTTGGTGAATTAGAAAATGTCGGAACATTTCTGTACCTATTTTTTGGATTTCTACTACGTAAGCAACCTTCCCACGTGAATCTTACGCACGGCGTTATACATGAGGCCCCAGGAGGGTCACCAACACATTTAGGATCAAGGTCCCGTCATTAAATACACTCTTCAGAGTTCAGTCTTTCACTAGATATGCTGAGAGCTGAATTCATGTATTTGACACATTCAACAGTCATTTTCTTTCATCATAAGGGAGGTTTTACACAGGGTCGAGAGAGCTCTATACAAATGTAATCCGTTACAATTAAAAGTTACAGTTTACATTTTTTTTAATCAATTACGTAATCTAAGTATAAAAGTAATGTACCCTGATTACTATATTCTACTTTTGGATGAACTCAAATGCAATGCGAATATATACGAGGAAAAAGGAGAAGAAACTTAAGTGTATTATGTAAAGCAACAAAACAATATGATCTTAGAAAAGAAGACAACAGGATATTTTGTATCCAAAATGTGTCATCTTAAATCAGAAAGTTTACAAATGTATTTGTATGTAAAACATTTATTAAAACCAAACACATATTTTTGATTTAATAAATCAGGTGCATTTAAATATAAATAAATATATATATTAAATTAAGGAAAGCATACCGATAATTTATTTATATTTATTTTTAAATGTATTTTAACGTTCTAATCCTGCTAGTAATCCCCATTTTGGAAAAGTGCAACAGTAATCTGTCATTTTATAAATGTAACTGTAAGGGAATACATCTACCTTTTTCTTTGTATCCTGATTATGTAATCCATTATCAATTCCAAGTAATCTGTTACTCCCTAAACCTGGTGTTACACATAAAGTACACACACAGTAAAGTCTCCTGAAGGCACCAGGAAACACTGAAAAACTGAAACGTTGACTTGAATTAAATGTATTATGGGAACAAATGACACATAATTAGGTTAGTTGAAAGCAACACTATTAAGTTTAAATACAAAATATTAGGTTTAATTTAAGATTATTCCTTTCAACTAACCTGAGCTAACTAACCTGTTGACATAGTACAATTAAGTAAAGTAAACGTTTCCGTTTTTTTAGTGCAGGTCCCTCCCCAGCATCCATTACCTGGACCACCGTACTGTAGATCTCTGCTGATGCCTGTCATCCACATGGCGGGTGCCCTTGATTTGTACCCCTGCCCCTCCCTGAGGGCCTTTAAATAACCACACATACCGAGCGGATCATCTGCAGGTGCAGGCGCTCCGCTGTTGTACATCACTGTCACACGGACATGTTGGAAGGGCGATTAAAGACACACCTGCCACTGAATATGGTCCAATGTTGTTCAGAATCTGGCTCTTGCTCTGATCTGAAAACCCTGCGGCAGCTCTGGGTGGGATTTCAGCTGCATGCTCCCTGGAGTGACATCTTTTCCAGCAGATTTTACATGATAAGATACAAGCAATCTGCTCATAAACACTCGTACTGAAATACCGTTAAATTGAGGATAATGTCATGGTGCAGCTTGTGGAACAGCTCTTGAATTGGGACAAATTATAGGGTTTGTCACTGTTTATTCAATAATTCTGTACAGCAGGTGCTGAAAGGTTATATGCAACCCTCCTGATGCCCTGTTGTGTTCTCTCTCTCTTTCTCCCTCCTTTCCCTGGTGGGGGAGCTTGGTGACCTTGAGTTATCTTTACAAGGCACTGTTGAGTCTACATGCTGGATGCTACCGTGGATTGAGGTCCTCTCATAGCGAGCACTGTAGCATCTGTCCAGTCATTTACATGCTAACATGCAGTTAATGGTTTGTTCTAATTTTTCGGAAAATCTTTCAGTAGTTATAAAAACATCATGCTTGCCAAGACGTTAGAACACAGCTACATTGCTACAAAAAAGTCTGACTAGTCAAAAAAGTTGTAGACCTCCAGTCCCAGTATTAAGCTGTATTTTTAAGGGTCTCCATTTTGTATGTCTGGTATGCACACACACACAGTCCTACCATACTGTTCCACTGACCAACAAGTGGTAGAGCACGCCAAGATAAACTGCAACAAATAAACTGAACTAGAAGTCATGGGTGTGAACCGGTGTGAACAAGGCAAGATTGTGTTGTAAAAACATGTTCTTTATGTTAAAACACAAAATGTGATATATGGTGATTAAAAACTGATTGTAATAAACCTTTAAACTGTGATGAAACTGTTTTGATAATAAAATGTTTTACTTTTGTTTAAACTAATCTCAGAGTTGGGTTTCTACGTTTCAATGTCAGTTCATCGGTCCCTTTCTTCTTAGTGATGCCTTCATGCTTCCAGGTATCATAAATTCACTTGGTGAGTACAATGTTATGGTCTGAGATTTTACAGGTACGTACTGCCAGGCACTTCAAATTCTTAGCACATGGCTAAAGCTGCTCTGGAACAGGGCCAGCATCGGCCCAGTTGTACTGGTAAGTGGGAGTATCCAAGATCAAAGCTGGACATTTGTAACTGGAACGCCCCCTGAAGTCAGACTTCCTACTTGGAAACTCGGCAATATCTCGCCGCATCATTCAAAAACAGAGTCTCCGCATATGAACAGTAAGAGAACCCTTTAAAAATATAAGACGTTTAACTCTTCTGTATTATCTGTGTCCCATTAAATTAACTGTACATAAGGTATTGCTCATCTTCCATCTCTGGATATGTTGCTACGATGTCTGTATTCACAAAATACTAAATAAAGCGTAGTTATCAACCGGTGTTGCTTACAGTGGCCTTCTTTTTACGACTTGTGCCACTGGAATGCAGTCAATTCGATGTGACGTCACTCCCAGGTCTCACCTCCGACTTCCAATGTAAAAGGAACGCAGCATTAGCCCAGGGCTAAAGTTGGTTTCCTGGAACACGGCCAGCTAGCCCTAGGCTAACGGCTCACTTAGCCCCACACTAAGTGCAGTGTGAAAAGCCTGAAAAAAGAGGACAAAGGATCACTAAACGTGTGCTCATTTCAACACAATTTATTTACACATCTTCATACAACTCAGTTTGAAGCCATAGCAATTTACTATTGCATGGCACCTTCAGTTCATCACTCCTTTTGTACTTCATCAGTGCTTTTCTTTCATCCAACACTTGAGTGTTCAGATTTTTGTTCTAGCACACAGTCTTTCCTCAACACCTCTACCCAGGGGTGGGCTTCAGTCGACGGGGCCCTGGAAGATGAGTTTGATGTGGCCCTGCTCCCCTGTCAACCAGGTACCACAGAAGGGGCAGGCAGCATGGAAGGCATGGGTGCCGTGGGGCAACGGGATCTGGCTCCACCCCACCACAGTCTTTTCTGAGCATACATGGCCGCAGGGGCAGAAAGCGTGAGTGGGGGGTCCGGCGTCCAGGTACAATCCTCCCTCACAGCCCAGCCACAGGGGAACATAGGGGCCCACTCTCCGGCACATGGGGCACTCCCTCTCCCCGGTGCTGGCGGGTGCGGTGCCCCCGGGTCCAGCAGGGCCCTTCTCCTTGCGGTAGCCCCAGTTGTGGTAGCCGTGCACGTGGCCACAGTTGACGTAGACCCAGGGCTGCTTCTTGTCCACGATCTCGCGCTGGGCCAGACTCGGGAAGGCCAGCGTGTTGAAGCCCACCGGACACTGGGGCCGGGCGGCGTTCAGCTCCTGGCGAAGGGACTCCAGCTGTTTGAGGGTGGGGGTGTGGCGCAGTCCGGCGGGGGTCCTCCACAGCAGGGTGGCCCCACATAGATCAATCAGAGATCCATCCTGGAGAGTGTTGGACTCATTTTCCACCTGAAGAGGAGAACAGATGATGGCAATGTAGCAGAGGAAGAGAAGAAGAGAACAGTTTCTATCACTGGCTGGAAGGAGGAAATGGGGATTCGTTAGACCCGTTGTCGAGGGGATATGACCCAAAAAAATCATGCCATCAGTTTCACTAAAACAACTCTTCACTGGGCTGTAAACTGGTCTGTTAAGATGTTTAAAGGTGACAGTTTGCCAAAAATCCAAAATCCCAAAACATTTTAGAGATGTAATTTGAACAGCAGCTTCCACTGGTTCGCTAACTTTTTGGTTCACACCCCTTAAGGTCAAGACAGCAAATGCGTGTACGAAAATCAAAACCCAAGAGTAAGGGCTCGTGTCCACATAGCGCCGTTTATTTTCGCTTTTTTAATGTTTCTATGACAACGATATGTCAACAACGTACCACTGCTGTTGTAAGACTGACTAGCATGGATGTTATCATCTGTTTATGCTACTATATATTGTTTTACTATAAGCACCAAACATCAGAGTCTTACTCTCACACTTTGATTGAATGAGCTTCACCCCTCTGTCTGACAGCCATATGTTGAGGGGGGTGGACGATAACACAGTGTCACACCCACCGGGAGATACATCCGGTCCTACATCCAAGAAACGGGCTTTAAGGTTTTTGTTATGATAGTTTTCATATGATACAAACACGGCCAAATATAACCTTTTCATTCAATTCACACAGTGTTGTCACCAGCATTATTCTGGAAAGTTGAATTATTTTCAACTCTGAGTGCTCTGATCTAAAAAAGACGCTAGCGCTCAGAAGAAGGCGCTATGTGGACAGACTCTTACCCTCCGGTAAATGTATAATGGGAGTCCCATTATACATTTTTTATCCCAATAATGAAAATGGACACTATTTCATTTCTTTCCTTCTTTAAAAATAATGAAATGTATAAAGATCAGCCATGCCAGGGTGATGAATAAACCCGTTTCTGTAGAAATCCCTGAAGTACACCAATTTCAGTAACCCGTATCAAAGCAAACGTATAATTTTCCCATCATGCCCTTCATCTCACCAGTTTCCCCCTCTGCTGCGCTGAGCGAGTCTCCCTCAGGGCGAAGACGTTTCCACAGACTGAGATTTCCCTCCAGACGCCCGGAGCCGGCTCAGACACAAACTCCCCCGCCGGGTGCATCACAAGAACCCCGTTGGTGGTCAGGCCGTCCATCAAGCCGTCCGACGTCCTCCATTTGGCCGCCCGTTCCTGAGAGACAAGTCAACACGAGGAATATGAGGTGGAGGCAGGATGGAGGAGGGGGTGTCAGAGGTGGCCGGCTGGAGCTAGCGTTGCTTTTCTCTGCTGCTATATTTAGCTCGGTACAGAATGACTACTTTACTGACTAATGCACCCACGCTCAGGATGAACCCTGGGAGAGAGGAAGGCTGTATTATGAACACAAATTAGCTAAGATGGAATGATACAGCACATTTCTGCCGTGTGTAGCTGCATTAAAAAAAAGAAGGGCCAAGGCAGTTATAAAAAGCAGTGACTCAGCTCTGGAAATATTTATTTTAGGCTGCTCTGGAGGAAAGAAGGATTTCACTGAAATATAGTGAGACATTAGGGGAAGGGCCAAAGGTCCCACGCACACTGAGAAAACTGAAACGTTGACTTTAAAAAATGTATAAAGTCAACACATTTCACATAACTGTATTAGCTAAGTTGAAAGCAACATTTTTTATTTTAAATAAAACATATTAGATTCAACTTAATATTACTGCTTTCAATTAACCGTATCAGAGTATGTGTAATCTGTTGACATCATATATTTAATTAAAGTCAATGTTACAGTTTTCAGTGCAGGAAACTCAAACTGCGATGAGATTTGTCTTTCATAATAATACTAAAGAAGACACTGTCAGACACCATGGAACTCAGGAGCTTTGACTCTCAGAAATATAAAGCAACTATTTATCACATTTTGTAAATATATTTAGTGGCTAATCCTGAAAACATGCCCGCTATAATCCAATGACATCGTGATAAGGTCTTCTCATACTACATTATTTACAGTATCAACAGTAGTATCTGCATCACATCCATCAACACTACAGAGATGAACCACAGACCCTGGCTGTAACAAAAAGAGAATAATTGTTTATCATGTCGGTGTGATTGTAGTCCTGATGGCTGCCGGAGCTACACCAGCCTGCGTGGTGACGTGTGTGTAGATGGAGCGCTGGCTGCTGACGTTGTCTCTCTGCTCGCTGGCCTAGTTGTTGGGGGTCCTGATAAATCTTTCATGGGATGATGTCATGCTGTCATGAGAAAGGGCTATTATTGCTTTTGTGATAAGCCTGTAGCTCAGGCATTGTTTTGACCGGGGGCGACTTTTGTAAAATGATGGCCAGGGGTCAGCTAGTAAACAAATATTAAAACTCTCCTATTATAGTATTTTTAGGCATATATTATAGGTCTCAGATATATAAAAAACATGTCTATGAAGTGTTTTGCTCAAAATACTAAACAGATCACCAATTCTAGCCATGCCTCATATCCCTCTATTTCACTTCCTGTTTCAAAAGTGCTGATTCGGGGTATAAAACTTTAAAAAAAAAGACTTTAAAAAAGGAGGGGTCTGAGCTCATGCGGGACCCGGCAGCTACTGTCTAAACTAAATGCTGCCGTGATGAAACGCCATATCATGGATTATCAAGGATTCTCTCTGAAACAGTATGGAGCTCAAAGGCTTTCTCTCCTGCCGGTTATACCACAAGGTGAGTTCCTTTTTACTTCCTGCTTCTTCACACACATGCTCTCCAGTACAGGTTAGCTCTGAGTGTTAGCGATGCTATGTAAACACCGACCATATTACGTCTAAAAACAGTCGGGCATTGTTTCTGATAGCAACGTTTCTGATTTGGCCGTGGGTCCACATTTCAGATATTACGTGTGGAAGTTATAAATTTGTACGGGGGGGCTGGGGGGAGATAGTTTCTGCCTCCGACTCTGGGGTGGGGGGTGTGAATATTGTGTGATCGTAAATGGGAGACGAATGTGGTATATACGGTAGAACATATAGACACTCGACTAATAGGCTGCGGAAGTAACGAATTCTGAGCCCCATGTGACACATGGACACGCGTAGAGAGCCCAGTCCGCGATGTGAAGACCCGCTTTGGGATCGGAAACTGTACGAAGTATGTAAACATTGCGACAGTGTGTACTTGCAAAGGAAAAAGGGCTAAGTGGTTTTTTTTTAGAGTGAGGTTTCGCTTGAGGTTTACAANTCAAAACCACTTCAAGGATTATTTCTGAAACAGTATGGAGCTCAAACGCTTTCTCTCTCTCAGGTTTACCACAAGGTGAGTTCCTTGTTATGTCTTCTTTACACATACTCTATCCAGTACAGGTTAGCTCTGAGTGTTAGCGCTGCTTGCTAATGTAAACAAAGACCATATTACTTCCAAAACACGTCAGGCATTGTTTCTGATAGCAACGTTTCTGATAGGACCGCCGGTCTAAAGCCAGCCCACATTTTCGATGTTACGTCATATCGGACGTAAATCTGGATCAGCTCTGTTGTACCCCCGTTTTTAAAGATGTGGGTACGGAGGAAAAGAGAAAGGGTTGTATTTTCTGACACTTTGTGAGTTCCCTGACACATTGGGAACACATATTTATGTATAAAAGACATCAAAAAGTGCATTTTGCATGACAGGAGACCTTTAAAGCTTGGGGTAACATTCGATTTATGCTTTTGGAGGTTTTCTCTCTCCTGTGTTCTATAGTTTTTGTGCATGTAAATGGTCTGCAAAAGCTACGCCAGAAACGTCTCTATTGTACTCCTTTCTTTACTTCTGCAACATAGTGACATCACTACGTAACACTCGTGCTTCTATTGGCTAGCGCTCCAACACATTGTACGTGATAGGCTAAGGGGCGGGACATCTCTAAGCAGTTGACCAGTCACAACAGAGCCGACCAGCTAACCAATCAGAGCAGACAGGGCTCTGGTTTCAGACAGAGGGTGAAAAGAGGTGCTGCAGCACAGGCAGTATGAGAAAATAAAGAGCTTTTTGAACTTTAAAACATGGAAACATGTCACAGGAGAGGAGCTAAATATATTTAGCATGGACCTCTGTTAGGGGGCTTCAGGGGATCCTACCCTGGTACTTAATTGTTTTACTAACAAGCTTAGCACCGCATTAGCAGCGAGCATACCCTTCTCTCTGATGGAAAACAATTACAAATCCTCCCCAGGCGGCCTCAGGCTCCAGACAGTTCCACTGAACTGAGATCAGCAAGATGGAGGGGAAACTGCTGAGTCGGCTTGATGGAGCATGACTGTGCTGCATTAATGAAAATAACCAGTGCCCTGCTTTCTATTTTAGGGTAAAGCTATTTGGAGCTTTCTTTGCAGTTCTGACAGTAAGTCTTACTAGAAATGGCACAACTGTTATCACAGAAATTATGAACATTATGACTTTTCACATTAGACGTTGTATTTTCATAGATTTGCTAACTGGTTATGATGATATTACTTTCTAAAGTAAGAGCTGAGCACAGCGATATCAGTCAAAATAGAGCAGGTTTTAATCATTTCCAGATCTCAATATCTAATATCTAATAATATATCAGTATATTATTATCATATCCGATTAGACCCGGGCCCCACTGACATGGACACTTACACCCCCTATTAACACCTCACGTTACATATTAACATCATGACCGTTTATATATGTTACATTAATGCACATCTTTGGGATTATATCTCTGTATGCTTTTTTCAAAGCTCCCATTTTGAATCAGAAATATTGTTGTTCTATTGTATGTGTTTTAGAAGTTCTGCTATTTGATGTTTCTTAATTTCTGTACATGCTTTTATTATGTATTGAATTTCCCCTTACTGTGTTGATGTCAAACACATAAGCAAATAACTTGTATTTGAAAACATACTGGTAAAAAATAAATACATCGGATTCTGATTTCGAACAAAATACGGAAGTTATAAAAAACACAAAAAAACCTGAATTATTGGGTCTTTGAAATAATGAAATACAGTAGCATACAAACAGTGTACTGCGTGTACTCATATGCTGCATTCACTGACTGATATTTACGACAAGAAGCAGTTACATTAGAGCCACACACAAACACACACTTTGCTCCCTCCTCTCCAGGTCACATGCACTGACACCCATCTTTACTGCTATGATGTCACCCGTGGGAGGCAAAGCCCTGTCCCTGAAGTCGCTCAAACTGTATGCTAGTTGCCGTGGTGACCGGTCCCTGTGTAGGGAGAACACTCACCCCCAGGAAGATGTTCTTGGAGGAGTCGAAGCCGGCGGCGTAGATGCGGGCGGTGTAGGGGGCGCTGCGCTCACACATGATGCGGCAGGCGTAGCGTGAGATGGTGCTCTGCGGCGACTGGCCTCCCCCCC